AAAAGGCACCTCCAGGAGGAGCTCTTGTGTCGCTGTTCCAGAAAAACCTGGAATTGCCTTCCCTTGTCCTTCCTGGCACTTCCCTGTTCTTTCCGCCGGGATAACGGAGAGGGGGGAGAGCAAAGGGCTGGAAAAGAGAAAGGAATCCAGGGAGAACTTGGAGCCAATTCCAGGGCCTGGAGGGGCTCCAGGAGAGCTTGGAGAGGGATTTGGGATTTGGGATGGAGGGACAGCACACAGGGAATGGCTTCCCACTGGGAAAGGGGAGAATTAGGTGGGATTTTGGGAAGGAATTCCTGGCTGGGAGGGTGGGGAGGGGCCGGGATGGAATTCCCGGAGGATTCCCCATCCCTGGGAGTGTCCAAGGCCGGGCTGGATCCCCCTGGGATAACGGCGGGTGGACAATGGAATGGGATGAGCTTTGTGTCCCTTCCCACCCCGGCCATTCCGTGAATCCCGGCGATCCTGCGGGAAGCGCCTCCCTCTCCCGGCGATCCCTCGGGAATCTCCGCCCCTCATCCCGAGGGTGGTTTTTTTTCCCCTCTTCCTCCCGCGGGTGGCGCTGGAACATCGTGGAATTCGCACCTTTGGAATGTTTCGATCCCTTCGATCCCTCTTTGGGATTTTCCTTCGGCCTTTGGAATCTCTTCCCTTCCCGCTGCTCCCGGTTCGAGGTGGGGAGGGGTGGGGGTGGGAAGAGAATTCCTTGTTTTCCTCCTTCTCCCCCTGGGATTTTCCTGCTTCCCAAAGGGAGAACGAACCCCGGGAATGTGGCTTGGGATGAGCTTTTCCTGCCGGGATCCAGACTCAGCTTTGTGGATTCCCTCATTTCTTGGGAATTCCCTCCCCTCCCTCCCTCCCTCCCAGGATCTTCCCATGGGATTCTCCCGGGTTGTCCCTTGAGGAAAAGTGGTCGTAATTCCCGTTTTTCCAGCTTTTTCCTGGTGGTTTTTTTTTTTTTATCTCTCCCTCCCTCTGGATTTTGGAAGTTTGGTTGAATTTTGGGAGAAATTCCTGCCTGGAAAAGGTTTGAAAGCCTTGGAAAAGCTTCCCAGGGAAGAGGGGGAGGAGTCCCCAGGCCTGGAATTGTCCTGTTTTCCATGGATTTATTTGCTCCAAGGCCTGTTTTCCATGGATTTATTTGCTCCAAGGCCCATTTTCCATGGATTTATCAACTCCAAGGCCTGTTTTCCATGGATTTATTTGCTCCAAGGCCCATTTTCCATGGATTTATCAACTCCAAGGCCTGTTTTCCATGGATTTACTGGCTCCAAGATCGAATGCCAGCAGATATTCCTGGGATAACTCCTGGGCGTTTTATTGAGAGATTTCCCTGAGGATTGAGGGTGGAAAAGGGATCTCCCATTGGTTCCTATTGCTCCCAGTTCGTCCCAGTCAGTCCCAGTTGCTCCCAGTATGTCCCAGTTGGTCCCAGTTCGTCCCAGTATATCCCAGTTTGTCCCAGTATGTCCAGTTTCTCCCAGTAACTCCCAGTTGGTCCCAGTGACTCCCAGTTGCTCCCAGTAACTCCCAACATGTCCCAGTCAGTCCCAGTTGCTCCCAGTATGTCCCAGTAGCTCCCAGTATGTCCCAGTTGGTCCCAATTGGTCCCAGTCACTCCCAGTAGCTCCCAGTTCATCCCAGTCAGTCCCAGTAGCTTCCAGTTGGTCCCAGTAACTCCCAGTAACCTGCAGAGCCCAAACCAGTAACTCCCAGTAACTCCCAGTCCCTCCCAGTGCCCCCCAATCCTGAAAATCAGTGGACGAGGTTTGGGAATCCCGGGATAACTCCTGGGATAACCCCCGAGCGTTTCCCATGGAATCAGGACCCTCCCCCTTCCCTCGGGGACACCAAACCCTTCCCGGGGGGTGGGGGGAGGGGTGGTTTGTGTAGTTGGGGATGGAATTCCCGCATCCCAAGCCCCCATTCCCTCCCTTCCCCCCCTCATTCCCGATTCCAGAGCCAGCCCCGCAGGTCAGGGCGGGTTTTTTTGGGGGGCTGTTCCGTCATTCCCGGACCGGCTGGGACTGGTTTTGTATTTTTTTTTTGGGAATTGCTGACTCGGGGCGTTCTGCTCGGGCTGACTCAGCCGGGCGGGGCTCGGGAGGCTCCGGAGGGGAGGGAGGATTTGTAGGGATTTATAAGGAAAAGGGAGGTTTGAGTGAGGGGGGGGAAACGGCCCTAAATTCACTTAAACCTGCTCTGGTCTCCTCCAGATTCCAGAGGGAAGAGGAGAAAGGATTAAATCCACCAAAATCTGGATAAAACCCACCTAAATCTGGATTAAATTCACTGAAATCTGGATTAAATCCACCTAAATTTGGATTAAATCCACCTAAATCTGGATTAAATCCACTGAAATCTGCTCTGGTCTCCTCCAGCTTCCAGAGGGAGAGGATTTTAGGGATGGTTTGGGCTGGAAGGGCCAGGAAATCCCATCCCATCCCATCCCATCCCATCCCATCCCATCCCATCCCATCCCATCCCATCCCATCCCATCCCATCCCATCCCATCCCATCCCATCCCATCCCATCCCATCCCATCCCATCCCATCCCATCCCATCCCATCCCTGGACATTCCAGGATTCCCTCTGGAAAAGCAGGATGGGCGATCCCAGCCCAGCATTCCCTGGCAGGAATTCGGGATCAATCCCCCCTTGGATCTTCCCGTGGGAAGGAGAGCTGGGAATGCTGAGCCTTCCCAGGCCCAGCTGGTGGGATGGGCTGAGCATTCCAGAGGCAATTCCCAGTTTGGGAAGGGGGGGGGTTTTATCCCAATCCAAGGGCTGGAGCCGCTCCAGGCTTTTGGAAAAGTCGCTTTTCCCTCTCCTGGAAGATTCCAGAGGGCTGAAAATTCCCATTCCTGGTGGGAGAGAGGGGGGATAATTTGTGTGGAAGTTCAGCCCTGGGTCCAGGTGGGATTCCCTGGATCCTGGCCAGCCTTTTCCCGGGATTTGGGGGGGGTTGTGTAACCCGGCGTGGGCAGATCCCGCAGGGAGAATCCGTCGGGACTCGTCCCTGGAGCGGGGCCAGGAATGAGCAGATTCCCTGGGAATGGACAGAGGGGATTCCAGAGGCTCCAGCACATCCCAGAGCTGGGCTGGGACAGGGAAAAAAATTCCAGGATTCCCCCTGAGAAAGCCAGGGCTGAATGAACTCTGGGATAACCAGGTTGGAGGGGCTGGAATAGGGAATGAGCCAGAAGGAAAGAATTCCAGGATTCCCTCTATGGAAATCCAGGCTGGAACAGCTGGGACAGGGAATGGGCCACAGGGAAAGAATTCCAGGATTCCTGTGGCAAATCCAGGGCTAAATGAATTTTTGGGATAACCAGGCTGGAGGAACTTGGGACAGGGAATGGGCCAGAGGGAACTCAGGGAAACAATTCCAGGATTCCCTCTGGCAAATCCT